AGATTTATATATTTATAATGATTTTATAGTCATAATTTCATACGCAAGTATACGTATCGCTCAAGTAATACAGGGCTCTAGTGGAGTCCCGTTTATCGATCCCACAGAGAAACGAGGTAAGAGGTCCTTAGTCAAATTCTAGTCTACTACAATTAGTCCTTAGTTTGGAATGTTGATTATAATGATGTTTTATCTAGTAACTACTCCTAAAAGCAAGGGTTAAATGTAAAGATAATAACTATAACTAAATGCAAATATTAATTATAAAGATAACCCTTTTTGGATGACTTGGTTTGGAAAATTTTGAGATATTAAAAACTACTATTCTTATGTAATGAATTGGATAATGTAAAGGAATGAGATGCATTAAATATTGTATGTGCCAAATAGGAGCAATCATATTCTTTACCCTTTGGTCCAGACATAAAGAACATTGACTAATCTTATGCTTGTTTACTGAATCCGTGGCTAGGCTGGGAGGATATCGGCTCTCACTTCGGAGCTCCCACATTCCCCTCGCCTAAGGGCTAACATCTCTGCTTCAGTACTCAAATAATAGGACCGAATTGGGGATTTTAGTCTGTCACCCTAAAATCTCCAATTCTACGTCCATCAAAGTATATTTCCCTATTTAGTTGAATTCAACTCCCATGAACTTAACCATGCATGGAATTTGAATGTGGATCCACTTTGTTGAGAATTACACCGCCCTTTCGGATCAATGAAATTATAATAAATTTTAACACTACAACAGACTTTTATTGTAATGTAAATAAAATACAAGTAAAAATCATCACATTTATAATTAAATCCGCTTCTAACATGCATCACAAAATCCTAAACATGAATTCTACTCATTACAAGAGAAAAGTAAAATGAAAACAACGACATAATATTCTCATACCATTATTTCCAAACAAGAAGAGAGAGTAAGAAAAACACATCACAAAGCACGAAGAAAACACAACGGAAAACTTCATTTTATCAAAGCAAATCTACTAGATAAGTGTTTACAAAACCATAAGATAATGAAGAACACAATACTTAGTTTTTTCCCTTTGAAAGAAAGAAGAAAATCTCTCCCACAAAGTCTCCCGCCAATCCATGCAATGCTAGAACATCTTCTTACAAATTCTCTCAAAATCTCCTCTCCAATCTCTCCAAAAGGGTAGAAATCTACATTTCTACTCCTATTCTAAAAACCCTAAACTTTCTCCACACTTTTCCTAGCATTCCTCTCACACAAAACCTTCTTTTTCTAACCTAAATTCATTCTTTTAAAATGTAGGGATGAAGTTTGAAGAGTTGCCACAAGAACCCTTTCAAAAAGAGTCCAAATACGTTGAATTTCGGCCCATATCTGCCAAAAGTCGGTCCATAGTCGTCTCGGGCGCCATCGACGGGCTTGAGGGCGCCGTCGGCGAGCTTTTCTATCATTTTTTGGTCTTCTCGGGTAAATCTCGCCGTCGGCGCCATTTTGGCGTCGTCGGCGAGCAGACTGCGCAGCTCCACCGTTTGACTCCGTTTTAGCTCCGTTTTGCCACATTTCAGTTGCGTTGTGTTCCTAACAGATAGCCCTACAAAATAAGCATGAAAATAACCTTCCTTTAAAGTGTAATCTCATTCAAAAATATGCAAAACGTGTAAAAGAGATTAAGCATCGAAAGACTTATCGAAAAGTGACAGGGCAGAATTTCATTTCTTGCTCATTTTTGTTCCAAATTGCACCGTTTTTGCATATTTTTGCTCCAATGACCATAATTCATCATACCTGCAACAAAACATCAAAAATACCCTTCTTTAAAGTGCAATATCATCAAAAATAGTGTAAAATAAGTATGAAAATCTCAATATATTTTCCTTTAGTCAATGAATTCAATGTTTAGATTTTTCAGGATGATAAAATTGTTTCACTATTTACACAGAGCATGTTGTGGTGCTTTTTTTGTGGTGGATCGTTGTTTGGAATATGATGCATTGTGTTCATCCTCTTGTGAATGCACTGCTTAGTTGTTTATGATTTCTTAATATAACAAAATTTCTCATGTGAATTCATTATTGATTTGGAGCTCTCAGTCTTATGCTTTTGTTGTTTTTTTTTCTTTGAAAAGTGTCTTTGTGTCCATCCTCTTTTGAAATCAGTGTTTAGGATTAAAGGGCTAATATATTTGGGCTTTTATAAGGAAATCAGAAGTACTCTTGTTTTTACACAGAGCACTGGAATTCATAACTTCATCTTGTTATATTAGAATAAAGTAGAAACAACTACATGTATGAAACTTGAAATATTGCATATGTACTGATATGCTGATTACTTTTGTGTGTGTGTGTGGGGGGGGGGGGGGGGGGGGGGTGGTTAATTTCTCTCTTCGATCTTGTCCTCTCTATGTCATTCCATATAACATATATGTTGATTATTTTTGTGGGGCTTAATTTATGATGTGCTTACAATATAGAAATGAGGGGTTGATTCATAGTAGTTTAATATGTTGGTGTATTTGTGTGGCACTAATCAATACATATGCTAAATCATTTTAAATAAGTTTGATAAGTAATCAAAATATACACTACATCAATTTATTTTATCATGTTTATGCATTGTAACTCATTTTTATTTTGCTCTCATCAAAATTGGCGGTTCATACAGACAAGACAGATACAATGGTGTATTTGCAATGTGGGAAAAAGATGCAAAGATGATATTTTGCGACCTATGTTTAAAAGAAGTTAAGTTGGATAATAGGCTAATGACATTTTTCAATAAAAAGGGGTAACATAACTTAATTAATAAATTTAAAGAAAAGATTGGACGTAAGAACTAAAGAATAAGTGGGATTAATTAAATAAGGATTGAAATTTATAAAAAGAATTAAATAGGGAAACTAGTGATTTTGGTTGGGATCATAAAAGTGCACTACTTATGCATTTGAACAATAGTGGAAAGAAAGATTAGAGATGAAATTATACTTTTTTAATTAGAAAATTACATTATTATGTTAAGCAATGTTATAAATCAATATTTTTTAATTTTTTATCATCTATAGGTCTTTTAACAAGGGACACTCTTCTCTATGGGTGTCATTGAGAGAACATTTGGGCTGTGGAAAAAAAAAGGATGATTCTTTGAGATTGTCTACACATCCATTTAGAAAGCTGGAGAAGATTGTGACTGCAACAATAGCTCTCCACAATTATATTCATTGACATCCCAAGCATTTGACATTGATCTTGATGATGCTGACAAAAAACAGTCGACAATTTCTCCTAAATCATATGGTACCATGTGGGAGAATCAGTATTACCAAATTATTCTGATCTAGATGATGTTCTACGCAGGATGAAGAGAACGTTGAAGATATGATTTTGTTGCAAGAGCAAATCAATGATGCATTAGCATTTGTATGATGCTTATATGATATTGTATGAGAAGATATTATTAATCTCCTAATTTTGACTCTTTATGCAATGATATTTATGTGAAATGTTCTATGATTTGTTGTCGTTTTTTTTTATTCTTTTAGCATGTATTTTATCGCACTTAGATGGCCTTTTAAGCAACTGCGGATGTAAAATTAGGTTTTTTACATGTTTTTAGTTTGAAAGCCTATGAAAAGATGCATGACCTTAGAGGTTCTTCTGGATGACATTTAAGTTGTTATGAATTTTGATATATACGAGATTGATATCAAGGCAACAAAGATCTCCCTTTTTCAATCATATAACTGTTGGGTTTTTTTGGAGAGCCTTTGTACCGATATGCTTCTGTGACATATATGGCTTGACATTACATGATTTAAAGAAAATCAAGATCATATTCTTTAAGGTCTTATGTCTTCTTACAATGATAGATTATTCATTTGTTTATCTTTGCTCTAAAACCTGATAGTTTTATTATTTTTTATCAATGTATTTTAGATATTCTTATTAATTAATTTTAAATATAACTTTATTATTATAATATTAAGGCAAGCTTTCAACTTTCAGTAAATATGATCTTGAGGACTTCCGCTACTTCTAGAGTATTGCACTACAACTGTGGATTACACTATACTCTACTTACATCATGAAGAGAAAATATCTATAAAAGAGAATTTAATTGTGACTTCTTAAGTATGCAGATCAGCTTGATGATTATACCACACGTAGTGATCAGATGTCAAAAGTATCTCGTACAATTAATCATCTTGATTTCAAAATTAATATTTTGATAATACTAACTATTGTTCTTATATTTTTATTTTTTATTTTTATTGTTATTTTACTCAAAGATATAATTCTAGATGTAATATGTGAACTTTTTGAGTTTTTGAGGATTCTCTGAATGTAATTTTATTTTCTTGTATGACATCTTGAATAATTACCTTATAAATCACACAACAATACAAGGGCAAAAATATTTTCTTTTCATAAACAACTGTAACTTAACTGCTGCACAACTAAACTAAACATACAGATACACAACTTCCCCGTAGCAACTACCTCGCATAGCAATTGTGCAACAACTCCTTGAAACAACTACAACTACCCCAAGTAGACCCAATCTCCGCATGCACTAAATAATGCAAATCGCCTAAGATTTGCATATATATTGTCATGTAGTCAACAAGCCTTTCTTGACATCCATCAGCTCTAAATAACTTCTAGAAAGCCCTCGTTGTTGCCAGTCTAAGCTCCAAGATAAGGCCACTATCCCTTCAACGATGATATTTACGACGATCTTGTGTCTGCTTTTGTCCCCTCCGACAACTTTCGGTCTGTCATCCACAACCTCACCATTCAAATTATCCAATTCTCCATGAAAACAATTCACCTTTCACGGTGATCATCTATCTTTCTTCAGCCTCGATGCTGACCAATACTTACCTCTCAATTTCACCATTTTTTCACTTCTTTTTTTCATTTTCTAATGAGCAATGAAACTAGCAAAGCAAACTTGGCCGAGGTAGAAAGGAAAGATTTTTGTTTCACACTGCCTGAAAGGCCACCATGTTTGTTCATTTTTGAAGTTTCCTAGATCAACATGAAATGCCCTACTTTTGAGTGCAGTATGATCTCTTAACTTACATATTAGAAGTAACCAAACAATCAGGCTTACCATGAAACCCTAAAAATAGATCACATAAAAAAGTAGTTTTTATTTCCCACCTTCACTGACTTTTGTCATTTTGTGTTTACATTGACAAACAGAAAGAAAACTAATTCTATGACACAATTCTAGCTTAAAACATTACTTCACTGCACTGTCCCAGAAGCCCAAACTAACTGATCTTTGAAGAAAAATGGTTGTTTTGATGATCTTCTCCAACACCAAAAACTTGGTCATTTTCAGGAGTTTTTTCATGAATCTTGTCAGGAAAAAGGTCATCCAGGCCTTGCGTTTCAAACAGAATTTTATTTGATTTCATTTGCTCTTTGAACAACTTCTGAAGCTGTCTGCCCTGAGCTTCAATTCTCATTTGCAGATTTCTTTGAATCTGCGGAAAAATTAATAAAGGAAATTTCATTTTATGTTACATGAAAAAAATAAGATTAACAATGGTCTTTACTTCTAGCTGTTCGTGAAGATGCCTTTGTACTTGTAGCTGGATTTGGAGAGCTTCAGTGATTGGGATGACACTGCATTTCAATGAAAAGGATATTGATGAGTTGCTTCTTAAAAAAACTTGAATGCTGGGTTACATTTACATACATGTCATCAAATTCATAAGTATTTACATATCCAACACAAGAAAATTACTTTTTTACATTTATATCACATAAAAATACCACTTTTTTAACTTTTAATAAGTGAAATATACCTTTTCATGCAAACCAAAAGTGGCATATATATGTAAAAATTGAAGTTTAGGTGTTTGATATGTAAATACGTAAGAATTGAGTGGTATGAATGTAAATCTTCCTAAACAAAAAGTGTCATAGAAACATACGTTTTGGGATCAAACTGCTGCAGTTCATTGGCTTTCCTCTGAAACTTTCCTGAATGAAAATGCATGAAATAAAAGAAATCTCTTCACATTATAGCAGCATATAGTCTTCAGCATAGTATAATATCTTTGAATAGGCAACAAAAACCAACAAGCACACAAACATTCCTAATGAATTCCAAACTTTCCCCCTCCTATAAATGTTCAGAAAACTGAAGAAAATACAAAGAAGCTACATCTACTTGGTATAACTGCAGAGATTATTTATTTCTGCTTTGCTAACAATTCATATCCAAATCATCAGTTCTTCAGCCAGATTCCCTTTGCTTCACCCTCAATTCTATTGTCCCTATTCTGTATTCAATTCAATTAAAAAAAAGTAATTTTTTTATACTGAAAAATTTTATTTGCTTCATCCCTCATCATGTTTTAGGTGAAATGATGAGCGAACCGGGAGAATCTTAAGAAATATCCTTTTTTCATAGTTTATTTCATTCTGTTAGTATCAAATTTGATGTTGAATTCAGTCAGTGGTGGAGAGAATAAAATAAGGACAAATTCTTTGTTAATAGAACTAATACCAGAGTGATTTGAGAGATGAGTTTCATTATTATTTATTATTATTTGTGGCCCATATCTCCAGCACAGATCGAACTTCACGATGTTCGGATTGTCTTATTTTGGTTTGTCTTGACCTTTAGGTCTGTTTGTTGACTTGTAAATAATTGCATTAACTTATTTTTTACTGGATGGGAGCCTTCATGTATACATTAGTGTGCAAGCAAACTTTACATGTGTTTTTAATTACAACTTCGCATGTAGATATATATATATATATATATATTGCTCAAATGTATAGCATATTGGTAAGAAACAAAGTGAATAATCTCATGATGTCGGGCTCTAAATATATAAATATTTTTTTTGAAAGCCCAAAGAGGCTAATATATTAAGTAGAAAGAAAGATACAGATACAAAGTGTGGGAGGGCCCAAACATGGCTCCATGCCCACAAAAAAACCACAAATGGTTCCAAAACTAGAAAAAACAGAAAAATACATTAGATACTTAAATAAAAAACATAACAGTGTCAAAATATATAGTATCAGATGGCTAGAGAGCAACCCAATTTGGTCTTGCCTTTGCATCTAGTTTTAGGAAAGGAGCAAGCTAGTAAGCTAGTAAGATAATTGTCATTGCCAGAAGTAACCAATGTATCATCCAATATGTTCCCGAGCTGTAGTTTGCCTCCATTCTTCTTCTTCCTCCTGGAATAGACCTGTCATTCCTCTTCCGAAGAATCAGTCTAATGGGGTGGTAGAGCTGAAGCAGAAGGAATATCAACCATAGTACCCACAATAGGTTCTAGCATATGTGAAATATGAGTTGCCTCTACACCGGATACTTCCTGAAGAAGTGGAGCTATGAGGCTCTCCTGATTATCAGTCTGAACACTTTCATTTGTAGGTAATAGTCCATCAGTATTGTTTTCTATGGGGTTTGAAGGTGTCAACATCGCATCCCTCGCAGTAACAGTAACAACAGTGTCATGAGAGGGGTCCTCAGGGGCAACAGACACCACTTGTCTGGTAGTATCCTCCATAAGTGGAACAAAAATGTCCAGAGCAGTGGGGTTAGACCCATCCTTATTCACTTGAACCTTAGTTTTCAAATTAGGATGGAGCTTGTGGCATTTATCAAGGATATGACCAAACATCTTACAGTGGGTACAATATGGGGGTCTGTGTTCCAAGACGATTTGTTGCCAATATCCATTGTGAGTTGTGTCCAACTAGACTTCAGTAACATACGGTAAAGTAATATCCCTTTCCACAAGTATTCTGGCTACCGAGAGTCTAGTTAGGTTGAAAGTAGGCAGATCTAGCTTCAAATGATCCCCTAGGATGACCCCAATAGAGTAAAGAACCTGATGGTAAAAAAAATGTAGCTTGAGACCAAATAAACTAAACAATACCGGTACAATGGGAGTTTCGTGATTTGGGTCGAAATCAGGAGACCACTTGAGTAACTTCATAACTTTTCCTGCGATATTAAGATATTTCTTGGAGAAAATTCTGGTGTAGTCTTCAGTCATTGTTAGTTGGATCAACACATGTGTCTCATCCATAAGTCTCACCTTCCACTTGCCTACTTGCTTAAGATCATCTACGCTCCTTCTGATATTATCTACGCTCCTTCTGATAACTTCCATAGGTGGGTGTCCCCACTGAAATTTTCCAATGAGAGAAAACTTGAATTTTTCTGTCATGGTAGAAATTTCTGAGTCAGGAAAAAAAATTGCTGCTTTCTTACCTTTCCTACTTCCTTTTTTAACAAAAGGACAATCATATGTGTTATCGCGACATTCTTTATAGTTTGAGGGTAATACCACCGCGGACTCCACCTGAGGGTTTTCCACCACGTGGGCTAAGGAAGTCTTTGCCGGTTTAGTAAAAGAAGAAAGAAGTGTCATCAGAACAACCAGCTTCACCTACAGCGAGAAATTTGCGTCAGGCTGGAGAGAAAGGCGCAGAAACAAAGCAGAAGATCGGGTCAGAGAAGCACCGGCGTAGACAGCGGAGCTGGACGCCGACGCAGAAGCCACAGACACAGATTGCAGCTCGACGAGGTCGACACTCGACGCAGAAGCTCACGTCATTGTCATCGATCGCCGAAAACAAAACGATCCAAACGATCCTCTGCCGACACCTCTGCCGACACGTTAGTGCTAGCGGCAAAGGCGGAGACTTCTTCCTTCGGTCGAACCCTAAGACGCGCCATGAGAGTTCTGACTCGATTCTCCCGCCAGCCACCCCCATGTGCCTAACTAGTTGAGGACCGCTCTCACTATTAGCAAACTAGCAAGAGGGGGATTCGAACTCATGACCTGAAGGGACTTACAACCTTCAAAGAGACTGCTCTATCAACAGGCCACGACTGGCAGCACTCCTTGACCTCCATATATATATATATGTATATATATATATATATGTATATGTATATATATATATATATATATGTATATAAATATAGATAAAT